TCGTGCAACCCACATGAGCCTTGCTGGTTTTCTTGCTATTTCTTCAATACACTAGGCACACTTCCTTCTGCCTAGCAAGTTCTCCTCCCAGGTACCAACATAGCTCATGTACTTTCTTCAGGCCTGTGTTGGTCTATCACCTTTTCAATCAGGCCTTTTCTTTATTGTTTTAAAGATTTTTGTTCATTTAGAGAGAGAGAGAGAGAGAGCACAAGCAGGCAGAGGGGCAGAGGAAAAGGGAGAAATAGACTCACTGCTGAGCAGAGAGCCTGACGCGGGACTCAATCCCAGGACTCTGGAATCGTGACCTGAGCCAAAGGGAGACCCTTAACCAACTGAGCCATCCTGGTACCCCCAACCAGGCCTTTTCTTACCCATCCTATCACAAATGCAAATTCCCTCCACCCCAAATACTCCAACCTCCTTCCCTACTCAATTTTTCTCCATTCATTTAACACCACCTAACACACTAATGTTTCATTTATTCATTTTAGTTTTCTCTCTCTTCCACCATAAGAATGCAAACTCCTTGAGAGCAATGATACGGGCCTGTTTGTTTGGGCATATATGCCCAGTGCTTAAAACAGAGCCTTCAACACAGTTGTGTTTAACTAATTTTTCAATTGAATAGATGTAATTTCTGTCTAGACTTTGTCAGATAAGTACTTCAGTTTAGGCACATAGAGCTCACTGCTCTATGATTTTTTTTTTTTTTAAAGACTGTATTTATTTATTTGACAGAGAGAGAGATCACAAGTAGGCAGAGAGGCAGGCAGAGGTAGAGGGGGAAGCAGGCTCCCTGCCGAGTAGAGAGGCCGATGCGGGGCTCAATCCCAGGACCCTGAGATCATGACCTGAGCTGTAGATAGAGGCTTAACCCACTGAGCCACCCAGGTGCCCCCCCTTTCTTAAAAGACTTTATTTATTTGAGAGGGAAAGAGAGTGTGCACAAGCAGGAGGAGGGGCAGAGGGAGAAGCAGACTTCCTCCAGAGGAAGGAGTCCAATGTAGGACCCTGGGACCATGACCTGAGGTGTCAGACACTCAACTCACTAAGCCACCCAGGCGTCCCTCTGTGATTCTTTATATGGGCATAAAAGTTTCACTTTTGAACTTCTATCTTGGTATTTCAGATACTGTTTGTCAAGCTGAGGACTGTCACAAAAGTGGTCTCTAACCATTCCTAGAGACACAGGCTAGAATGAAGACATTCAATTCTTTCCATTCTTCCTTTATGTTTCCCCATGCCCTAATCTTCTTGACTTCCTGAGCACACTATTGAACACCTAAAATAATCTAATGGATGTCTACTCTCTGGACTCTATTTTTATTACTCTCCACTGTCAGATAATCACTTTCTGCACTCACTCAATGCCATTCTTTTAATGTTTTCTTTTGGTGAAGTGGACTTAATTTAATTCTGTCTGACCATTCAGGTCTTCGGAGGAGAAGGCACAATAACAAGCAGTTTATAGGTTCTCAGGCATTCACCTGCACCAATTTACTTATGTGACCACAATGATGGCAAAGATTATGGGCAACAAAGCATTTAAGTTACAGTCTACTTAATCCTAAACATATAACTATTCATTTTTATATGTAACAACTACCTAGCTAATTTTTGAGACTAGTTTTCATCTAGTAACATCCATATGGACGGAGGCATCAGAATGTTTGTTTTCAACTCATATTTAATATTCCTGAATTACTTACTAGCATTTATAAGCAATTCTGGACTCTTAAAGTACCCTTGATTCTTCTTTCATCCACATTATGGCAGAGTTGTGACTACGATAATCACTGTGTTTTAAAATCACAGAGTGAATGGCAACTAGGGAAGTTATCTGGTTCATCTCCAGAACATATCTAAATCACGCAGTCTTTCTTTTTTTCCTCCAAGACTTTTAGGGGAAAGACACAATAATTTTCTCTCTGTATAGATTCTCTCTCTATAGGTTCAATCACGAAGATGACAGAAGAGGGGTGCTTTTTTAGGTTTTACCCCATAAGACAATTTTAAATTCATTTGAGTTGAAGTATTTCCTTAGTGCACAACAGTCTTTTCCAGTTTTGCTTCTAGAAAGTAGAATTAGAAAGCAAGGTTAATAAAAGGATATAGGATGGAGCAGAGAGTAATAAAAGAGCAGGGATGAAAGAAATCTGGCAGAGGGAAATCAAGAAAAAAGGTAAAAGGAATTCAGTTTTGTTACTCTTTCATTTTTTTTTTTTAATTTCCAAGTGACTTGATCTGATTTTTTTCTCTAGGTACTCACTACTTGAATATAAAAGTACAGACTCAAAAGTGATTACGAGATGGATGGTTGACTACTGGTTAAATGTAGATAAAACAAGTCTAGTTATTTAATAATGAAATGCGTTCAGTCTTCATATTGTTTAATATAATAAAATCATGTGGCAATAAAAATCCAACCTACGTAGAGAGGTCTAAGAAGAAAAGGCAAAGTCTTCTGCTTATTCCCCTGGTACACCCCATACTTTTCAACCACTGTTCAAAATTCCTTTAGTAATTTTCCAGAAAGAAAAATTAAATGTATCTCCCTCCACAGAGTGTGTAGAGGTGGTGATGGGGGATATACACTTAAAATGTTATTCCATACTTTTTATATGTAACTTACTGTTTTTTCTTTAAAATACACTTTGGAGGGGTGCCTGGGTGGCTCAGTTATTAGCTTCGGCTCAGGTCATGATCCGGGCATCCTGGGACAGAGCCCCAGCCCTGCATCAGGCTTCCTGCTCTGCAGGAACCACACCTCTGCTTGTATTCCCTCTCTTGCTGTGTCTCTCTCTGTCAAATAAATAAATAAAATGCTTAAAAAAAAAAAAAAAGAAAAGAAAAGAAAGAAAGAAAATAACTTTGGAGATTTTTTCCATGTGCCTAAGTCATGGAAGCTCAATGAGGAAGGGCACTCTTTTTAAGTACTGTATTCCCAACGTTTTGAATTAAGGTCTTGCATATATTTTTCCTCTAACGAAAATGTGTTAGGTAAATGAATAAATAAATCAGAAAATATAGACTAACTTCATTCTTTTGAAGTTAAACATTAAAAACATAACATTATATTATTTAAATGTACAAGAAGTATCTAGTCTGCTACATTTAGAATATTTTCAGATTTTTGGCTATTACTGTAGGAATGCTTACATTCCTGAACATCACAAATTTTATACATATGTAGCTCTAAGTGAATCCAAGGTAATTTCTTAACCATATAATAGTTCGCCTGCATTTTTAACTTTGATAGATATTGCCAAGTAACACTCCTAGCCAGCTGCATCAATTTATCCTCTCATTACAATACCGTTTTTTATTCTGGAACAAATCACAAAATCTGAGTCAGTGACAGAAACGCACATTCCTTGAAACTACATATTCTTTCATCTAGGCATTTTAACGAAAACTGTGTCAGATGTGATCTCAAAAAACTGAAAATCCTTTTGGCTTTGCTGAGCTCCGGGGACATCCTTTTTCTCAAAGAAAAGTACTTGTTACTACTGGCCTGCTTTTTGGAACTTGGCCAAAATTCATGGTTAACTGATTCCTTTGTATATTTTAATAATAAAATATAATTCTGTTATTGTCTTTTTATAAAAGTTCAATAACTGCACCTTTGTTAAACATAAATAATAATTCAAGAACATGCAGATATCATTGAAAAAAATATTTATAGAACGGACCCAGGTAGCAGTCTGTAGAAGTACTTGAAATTCTACCACTCTGGCTTTCACATGGATTCCACTGCCTATTGACATTAAAATAAGAAAAGTAACCTACATGCAGAAAGAAGGTTGTATTCCCATTAACATTCATGAAGGCTGTGCAGCTGAAACCCTACATATCAAGTAGGGAATATATCTTTTGTCTACTGATGAGAAAATGTCTCAGTGACAAATGGTTACAGACGGGTGTCACAAGGGCAACACCACACAGAACAGCGACAACAAACAAACAAAAAAAAGTCTTCTCCTGCAGTTCTTTTTGTAGCATTGTGGACGGCCGTTTCTATCTCCTTAAATAAAAGAAAAAAATTGCGGTGCGGAATTCCTAACCTTTACTGAAGGCACTTCCCAGCAAACAAAAACACAGTCTTTGAAAGTAATTCAAAACAGAGCATCAGGGTCTTCATGATGCATAAATATCCAGACATTCTGAAAAGAAGTGCTCTGCACTCTGCATCCCAGCTCTTTGGGTCAAACGTGTATCGTCGTAAGACAGCAAGCACTCATCTAAGTGCGAAGTGTGTAACGTCAACATGGGGAAGTACCAGGCACATCATGGAAACGCTTTACATCATTTACGTAAATTCAAACACACTATCATACGCATTTAAATTTGAGATAGTTATCTCATAGACCCTAACAGTGACTGCCAGTGCCTTTCAGTTACTTTTCAAAACCAAGTGAGTTAATTTGTAGACAGCCTGTCTCATTGAGAATAGGGAGCCTGAGAACCAAAGCCCGTGGGCAAACATGAACCAGGGCCTGACTCTAGATGGCCCACTTTCCCCATCTATAAACACAAAGACAAGCAACCGTACCCCGCCAGCCAAGGACTTCTTTCCAGTATTTTGCCTCTTCTGCAAGTCTAGAAGCTTCAGCAGGAAGACTAATAAGCACAGTACAATTTGCTAAAACATGGATGTCAACACTGAGCTTCCGGGCGTCCTTCTCCACCCCACAAAAAGCTCTAGATGCAGACCAAGAAGAAATGTACAACGGCCCCCGCCAAATCCTTAAGAACCTCGCTCGTCCTGAAACCCCACCGCCGCGTATTTTCTACACAGTCTGCCAGCACTCTGTGGACGAGGGACAAAGGAGAAGCCGGCCAGGCGCTCTGGAGCGCGGGGTCAGCCCCCAGCCTTCGCCTTGGGAGCTAGTCCTCCTTGGGTGAAGGGGCGGGGCAGAAGGGGAGGAGACAGGGGCGGGTCTGGAACTCGGATCCCCGCCACCGGGCCCTGACGGCATGCCTGCGCCTGCGCGCCCGGCGTGGGCCAGTGGTTGGAAAGCTCCTGGGTCTGGTCTTCACCTCGAGTCCCCGCCCTCTGCCTCCTTCCCCGCCCCTTCCTACCTCCGCTCTCCTCCTCCTCCCCCACTCCTTCCCACCTCCGCCCACTTGACGCGATGACGCACCGCAGGTTTGCGGACGTGGCGGCGGCGCACGGCCCGGAAGGCGGAGACGTTGGCGGCAGTGGCGGCAGAAGACAGGGGCAACCCAAAACGGAGGGTTGGTCATGAATTTTCCCGGGACAGGAGCCGTGGCGGCGGACCTGGCAGCCGGCTCCTTGTTGTGTCCCCGCTGCTAACAGAACAGGTAAAGATGGCGGCGAGAGATGGGAGGTGTCCTGGTCCTGACCTGTGGGATCGGGCCCCGGCTGCGCCCTCGCTGGAGATGGCGGGGAGTCCTCGGCCGCAGGTGTAGGCGGGGCGGCCGGGCAGGGTTCGGATCCCCGCCTGCATGGACGAGACCCCGAGGCAGGGGAGACCTTCGCGACCAACCCACTGAAGCCCCTCGTTACACTCTTGGGGAACTGAGGCTCAGAGGAAGGACTCCTACCTGCCAGATGCCCAGATCAACGCATTTACAACCTAAGCACTGTATTTTCCCCACTTACTGTTTTGTTGAATAAATGTTGACGGCTTCTTGTCCGCACCGTCTAAGTGTGATGGTGTAATATAAAAATCCGAGATCATTGCAGGGAATAAACAGGGAAATAATAAAAAGAACAAGAACAAAAAAACCCTGGGTGTGTGGAATGGAGAGGGAGGGAACTTAAGTTTTAAAAACTGAATTGGCCCTGGCGGATACAGTCGCTGTGATGCTATCGCAGTGCTGAACTAGCTTGTGCCCTATGGCCCTTTTATTGCTCTCTGCTTCAGGAAAGGCACAGCCAAACACCGAACAATAATTACTACAAATTAAGGTGTTTGGGAAACCATTTTCAGTTACTGAGTGAGCCTTAACAACGTGTCCATTCGTAACTTTTGGGACTTTTTGTAATCTAGATAGCATGCAGAGTTTTTTTCAGTGTTCTTAAGAGGGGATTCTTGCTTTTTTCCTACTCTAATAATTAAGACAGGTTGAAGAAAATTGAGCCAGATGACTTGAATACAGTGTACTTTCTAAACTGTATGGTTGACTTAGATAATTATCTGCTTGGGCCAGAGTGTAGCTTTCCACTTGGACTGGAGGCGCAACCAATTCTTGATTATTCAAAAACAGTATCTAGTTTGTGGTTTTCTGCTGCCTTCATTTCATTACACAAGAGAGTGAAAAGATAGTGAGATGAAGTTCTAGTCTTTAACTATTATTTAGCATTGTACCATGGAGAAGGTTTGATAGAAATATGTGAAATGGCTTTGGGCATTGCTCAGTGAATTAGAGCTGTTCTAAGCCAGTTTGGGATTCTAAGAACAAATTATTAGTGGGGAAATGTCTAAATGGGTCCGTATAGCCACATGTAAATTGCTGTTAATTTTAAGTGGTTTTTTTTTCAAGATTTTATTTATTTATTTGACAGACAGAGATCACAAGTAGGCAGAGAGGCAGGCAGAGAGAGTTGTAAGCAGGCTCCCTGCTGAGCAGAGAGCTGGATGATGCGGGGCTGATGATGCGAGGCTGATCCCAGCATCCTGGGATCATGACCTGAGCCAAGGCAGAGGCTTTAACCCACTGAGCCACCCAGGCGTCCCTAAGTGGTTCTTTTTAAAACATGGACCCCTTCTGAGAACAGGAAAACAAATATTCCCCCCAGAAAAATGTATGTAAGTATAAAATTTTGCCTACGACTCCACAGAATTCACAGACATTTCCTAAACTAAAAACACAAGATAGTAAAGACTTGATTAAGTAGAAATAAAACTATTATCTATTTTAGGTGAAGCTGAGATACTTTTTCATTTTTCTGAGAATTAAAAATAAAGCATCCTTAATTTATTATGCTATTAAAACAAGATTAATCTTTGAACTTCTTAGAGTTGTCACTTGGTTAGAACTCCATGAAGGAATAGGTGTGACCAGGACTTCAAAACTGCTTTAGAGATGAAAACTGGATAGCTTTCTTTAGTTTGGTGGCTGTGAATTTAGGAATCACAATACATGTTATTAAATAGTAGCACCTTAGGGGGTGGGGATGGGTGAAAGAGTCAGCTTAATATATAGTTACTAGTTAGCTGTGTTATCCTACTAGAAAAACTCTTGAGTTTCTAAAGCATTGCAAGTGTTGCTGTAGAGCAGGGTCAAAAACTGGTTTTCACCCCCCCCCCCAAAAAAACTGGTTTTCAGGGGTTGTATTCAATGATATGAAATAGTTCATATATTATGTACATATGTGCCTACACACAGAACGCAGTCTTTTGTCATCCATATTACAAATTCAGACTTTTGGGAATTTATGTTTGTTTTCTCTTTTTCACTTGGTATTTGTCTGTAGTATTTACAACTGAGCTAAGTCCTTCTTTAAGGCACCTTTTGAGGGACACCTAGGTGGCTCAGTCAGTTAAGTAGAGTGCCTTCTGTTCAGGTCATGATCCCAGGGTCCCGGGATCGAGTTTTGCTTTGGGCTCCTTTTCACTTCTCCCTCTGCCTGTTGCCCCCCTGCTTATGTGCTTTCTCTCTCTGATAAATAAAATCTTAAAAAAAAAAAAAAAGACACCATTTAAGTTTGCTTTCTGTGACACAGTATTTTGATGGTTTCTTCCTCTTGTGAATATCCCTTTCTCGCTTCTTTGCAGGCTGATTTTCCTTCATTCAAAATACCAAATACAGCAGTTCTTCAAGGCTCAGTCTTAGCCCCTTCTTATGCTATACTTTCTTTAGGTAATCTCATCTATACCCACCCATTTTCAGTTTCTACTTACGCATATGAGCCATGAAATTATGGTAGGGAGGTGGGGAGGTAGGGAAGAGGGAGGTAGTACAAAAGATACTCCCATCCCACATGCACTTAAAATTCAGAACAAGCCGAATATTTGGGTTCACTAAAGTGTTGTGTTTGTACATACAAAATATGTACAATTCATAGTTCTGATAGAGTCAAAGTATATGTTTTTAATACATGATACAAAAGTATTACCTAATTTTATTCACATGCTCAGAATAAGTGGAGCTTCATTTTTTGACTTTAAAAAGATAGCAATTTACTTTTGCAAAAACGTTTATCACCCCCATATTTTGTAATATATGGTTTATAAAAATGGATTACCTCTTCCGGATACGTTAATTGCACTTCAACATCTGTAAAACTTCAACCTAAATATTTAAATACCTAAAATCAATTTTTTAAAGTGTCCTGAATATAAGATTCATGTAACTTGGGTGAATGGCTCAGGTACATTCCAAAGTTTTCTTCTTTCCTCCTCAGATTTTGACATGGCAGGGAGACATCAGAATCGTAGTTTTCCTCTTCCAGGAGTTCATTCAAGTGGTCAAGTACATGCATTTGGAAATTGTACAGACAGTGATGTGTTGGAGGAGGATGCTGAAGTTTATGAGCTTCGATCCAGAGGAAAAGAGAAAATCCGAAGAAGTACATCAAGAGATAGACTTGATGACATTATAGTTTTAACAAAAGATATACAGGAAGGCGATACTTTAAATGCAATAGCCCTTCAGTACTGTTGTACGGTAAGTTCTCATTTGATTTTGCATAATGCTATCCAGAATAATTCATTCATTAGCACAGATTGAAACAAGTTCTGTACTCTTTTATCTTCTTTTTCCCTTTCTTTCCATAGAAATCTGTATTTATGTTCGTAGCTGTTAACTTTTTACACTTTTAAGTGAATTTCTGTGTATTTCTAAATCAATGATTCTGTTGTCAGTATTGAAAAACACCCATATGTGTTATGTTTTCTCCTTATTCAAGTTGTAAGAGAATATAGAAATATATAAGGAAAAGTTTTTCTCTGCCTCTGCTTCCTGAAATAACACAGTTTGGTGTTTCTTCCCATAACTTTTTTGTGCTTATAAAAACACTATACATACGGGGTGATTGGGGTGATCGCCCTTGTTTATTGGGCTTTTAAAAACTGGTTTAGGGGCTCTTGGGTAGCTCAGATGGTTGAACATCTGCCTTCAGCTCAGGTCATAATCTCCAGGTCCTGGGATTGAGCCCCACTTTGGGCTCCTGCTCATCGGGAGTCTGCTTCTCCCTTTCCCTCTGTCTCTGCTTGTGCGCTCTCTGTCTCTCTCTCTCAATGCATAGATAAAATTTTAATAAATAAATAAAAATTTGTTTATACTATGCCTATTACTCAAGTTGCCTTTTTTATTTTCTTGTATATTGTGGACATCCCTCAGTGTCTTACAGATCTAACTCATTATTTTATATAGCTATATAGTATTGCATAGTGTAGAAGTGCCATAATTATTAAGCTGTTCTCCTATCACATAGTCAGGACTTTCTCCCATGTTTTGAATTGTGTGGTGAATATCATCACAACTATATCTTTAAATTAAATGGTGGTACCTTTATTTCTGTGGAATAGATTCCCAAAAGTATGATTGATAAATAGAAGGAAAGGTATTATTTTTAATTTTAATAATATTAAACTCTGTTTGAACCTTTTTTATATCTGTATCATTATGTCCATCTTGCATCCTTAGCATGTAATGTTTTCATGTAAATACACTGATCCGGAAACTGTTGGAACATTTTTTCAAACTTTCTGTCCTCATACTTCCAGTAGAATTTTGTAATGTATGTATCATGTTATCTCCTGGCACATTTTATTTATTTATTTTTTATTTATTTATTATTATTTTTTTAAAGATTTTATTTATTTATTTATTTGACAGAGAGAGAGAGAGCGCACAAGTAGACAGAGAGGCAGGCAGAGAGAGGGGGAAGCAGGCTCACTGCCGAGCAGAGAACCCGATGCGGGGCTCGATCCCAGGACCCCGAGATCATGACCTGAGCCGAAGGCAGAGGCTTAACCCACTGAGCCACCCAGGTGCCCCTCTCCTGGCACATTTTAAAGTGAGCTTAAATATTTCCTAATGACTTAAAGGATATAATTTCCAGAATGTTGTCAATGTTGATATTTAAAAATATGACTGTTAGAATATTGTTTATATGCACTAAAAGAAAAAAAGATTTATTTATTTTAGAGCTTGTGACTGGGGGGAGGGGTTGAGGGAGAGGGAGAACCTTCACACTTGCTGCTGAGTACGGATGGATCCCGAAGCTGGACATGGGGCTCTGTCTCATGACCCATGAGATCATGACCTGAGCCAAAACCAAGAGTCAGATGTTCAGCTGACTGAGCCACCCAGGCACCTCTATATGCACTTTTTTAATAGCATGAAATTTTTATCATCCCTTTTTCTCCTTGATTAATATTTTTATCCTCCCCCCACAATCTTTCATAATGTTCTATATTTTTATACTTGAAAGCCCTTTATTGGTTACCCATTGTAATTCTCTGCAACAGAAACATACATATTTATAAATTTATTTATACAAATATATGTAAATTTAAATTGAATTTTAAAAAATTTCCTGTGACCATGAAGTTTTGTGTTATTTTTCTCTGAATACAGTAATTACAGAACTTCAGTTGATCAAAACAGATATGATAGTTTTTAAAAATTTAATAATGTAGTTTATTAAAATGCATTTCTTGGTGAGGGAAGAAGAGCTGGATATTTTTTTTTTTGCAAGTTGTTCAAGTATGGCAACACTATTTACTATTAGGTCATAGTAGACCTGACTTCATTTTTTAGTGTATATAACCATGTGAATACATGTTTGTAGAGAAGTTGCAGAATGTGCTTTAGAAAGTTGATAGAAAGCAATCAAGATTTAAAAATTAGGGGCAAAGCTAAAATTATCAAGGTGGAGAGGAGTGTGGTCCAGTAGCTTCATTAGAGAAAGACATGGGTTTTCCTTTAATGAACCTGATAAATTGTCTTAGAAAAGGAGAAATTTGAAATGCCATCTGAATGATTAAAAGTAGGTCATATTTCCAATCAGGTGAAAAGGAAAAAGTATATGACTATATGAGTATATGAGGAGAAAGGTATACCATAGTGATGTGGAAGGAGAAAACAAGGGGAACAACAGATGAAATTTTAATAGGTGTTCCAGAGATGAGTGGCATAGACTGATGGGAAGAAGCACATTGAGCTAATGGAGGAAAAGTTTGATCTACTTAGTAAGAACACCATTATAAAGTTTTAAGGAGTGCTGCAGAATGGTAGGCAAACCTACTGGTGAGTTGGAGGGGACCCAACAATAAAGAGGTTAGTGGAATAATTCAAGTGAGGAAGATCAGGGCTTAGACTAAAATGTGTGCAGTAAGACTGGAGAAGTTTACAGAAAATCATATTCTACAAGATGCATCAATGGATTCCTCATTTATTTATTTATTTATTATTATTATTATTTTTAAAAGATTTTATTTGTTCATTTGACAGACAGAGATCACAAGTAGGCATTTAGGTGGGCAGAGAGAGGGAGGGAAGCAGTCTCCCCGCTGAGCAGAGAGCCCGATGCGGGGCTCGATCCCAGGATCCTGGGATCATGACCTGAGCCGAAGGCAGAGGCTTTAACCCACGGAGCCAGCCAGGTGCCCCGAATTCCTCATTTAAAATGAAGAATGATGAAAGGGTGGTTAGCTTAACATTAGAGGAAGGCAGGCATTATCCACAGTGGGGAAGACTAATATAATAGAGTTAGGGAGTTGAGTGCTCCGTTTCACCAGGAGTTAAACCAGCAAAAAAGGATGAACCTTACAAAGGATTTATCACTTAAAAAATTGAGTACTTAGTGCTGTATTCCTCTTATAAATAGTTTTAAAAATTACTAAAAATATGCCAGTCATAAAACAGTGACAAGAGGACAGAAAGTCCAAGGTTGGAATCCTAATGCTATCAAGAAAGTTAGTATAAAAGAAAATATAGGGATATTTAGAGTGAGAGCCTAGGTAGACTACTAAACCTTGGAAGCCTGGTTCAGAAAGAGTATGGAGTAGTTATTAGTTAGAATAGACAGTACCAAACAAATGAACATTTAAAGAGAATAGGGTCAGACTCGGGTTTGTCAATGAATCTTCATTTGCTTTAAGAAAAACACAGTCTTGAGGTTGTAAAATTTGAAAGCATCCTTTTTCTTTACTGTCTCATCTATTACTCCTAGTCCTCTCTGTTCTCCTCCCACACGTACGCTTCCAGGGAATTGATTTTTCCAGGAATTCTTATTCTTCAGTGGACTTGATCGGGAATCTGCAGTTGATCAGTTCACATTCCCTTCTAAATACCCTCTTTGTTTGACTTCCTTGATTTTGCATCTTTCTGATTTTTCTGCTAGTGATATTTAATTATACTAAATATATTAAATATAACTATTAAATGTTATAGCTGTTATAACACACTGTGTATTGCTATTCTAAATGTTCATGTGTTTTAATTAATCTTTACAAAACCCTATATGGTAGGTAGTGTTAACTACTGTCATTTTACATATGTGGAAATTGAATTGCAGAGAGGTTAAACAACTTGTCTCATATCAAAAAGCTAGAAAGTCGTCAGAACTGTCCTTCAAACCCAGACAGTCCATACTTTTAATCACCATTATATATTGCTTTCTTGGCCACTCTTTCTTCTTTTTCTTTTATTTTTATTTTTATTTTAAAAAAAATTTTTTTTAAAGATTATTTGACAGAGATCACAAGGAGGCAGAGAGGCAGGCAGAGAGAGAAGAGGAAGCAGGCTCTCTGCTGAGCAGAGAACCCAATGTGGAGCTCCATCCCAGGACCCCGGGATCATGACCTGAGCTGAAGGCAGAGGCTTTAACCCACTGAGCCACCCAGGTGCCCCTCTTTTTTTTTTTTTTTTTTTAATTTTATTTAAAAGTAATTTCCGGGGGCACCTGGGTGGCTCAGTTGTTGGGATTCTGCCTTTGGCTCAGGTCATGATCCCAGGATCCCAGGATTGAGCCCCACATCGGGCTCTCTGCTCAGTGGGGAGCCTACTTCTCCCTCTCCTACTCCCCCCTGCCTGTGTTCCCGCTCTTTGCTGTGTCTCTCTTTCTCTGTCAAATAAATAAATAAAATCTTCTTTAAAAATTTAAAAAAATGTAATCTCTCTACCCAACATGGGGCTTGAACTCAACCCCGAGATGAAGAGTCGCACGCTTTCCTGATTAAACCAGCCAGACACCTTAGCCACTCTTTCTTAATCTCTTTTGTAGATTTCTCTTACTCAATATATCCCTCAAACGTTGGCATTTCTCAAGAGATCTTTCATGTGTTACCTTTTTCTTCCAGTCTTTTTTAGTGAATCTGTCTACTCTTGTGACTTCAATTACCGTTTTTGCTGGTAATCCATGAATCTATATTTTGAGATCATTCTTCCAGATTTCAGACATATCTATTAACTGCCTATTGGATGCCTTCCACTTAGATATTTCAGTCACTTCAAAGTCAACGTGTATAAAATCTGTGTTTATTTTCGTTCTCCCTCTAGAGTGTTCCATATCTTAGTAAATGGCATCATTAACCATTGAGTTGGCCAAGCCAGAAAAGTTTTATCCTAGACTCATTTTGCCTCTCCGACATCAATCAGGTGATAAATGATCAGAGCTTAGGTTAAAGCATTGATGGAAGTCATGAATGGGACTGATTACTTAAAGGTGGTGGGAGAGCCTATCCCATGCTCTCCCTCTTGACAGTGGCAGGTGGATAGGATATACAGATAAGGTGAGAACCATATAATATATAGGGAAAGCTTATAAATAATGACCGATCTTGGGGGTAGTTGACAATGCATGAACACTGAGAAGTTTGGGAAAAATGTCACCAGAAGACAAATGAGGGAGATAAATTATGTTATCAATTCTAAGGTGCATGTTTTTTCACACATTTTAACATCTTTGAAATTAGAATGGTGGGATCCTCAATATTTGGTGTTTTAGGCCCCCCCCCAATATATAAAATAATGACACATCTTAGAGTGGATGGCATCTGAGTTTTGATAAAATCCGGTAATTTTAGTTGGGTAAGTTGACATTTGCCTACACTTTAATTGCTAGACTGGAAGAAAGAACATAAATATTTGTAATTGTTCCTTCCCAAATTGTTTACAAACAATAGAAAGTGTGATATTTGTGCATCATGTACAAAGAGAAATATCAAAGAATCCCAGAATCTACTTAAATACGTAGGATTAGTGTTAATAATACATGGGTGATAGTAAGAAGTAATTAGTGATTTCCCAAGACTGGTAGATCAAAAGTGATGTAGAACTGTTAACCACAAAATAAAATCTGGGTGTGATAACTTAATACTGCTAATAATTAAGCTCCAGTTTCTTTTTTCCCTTCTAAAAGTAACTGGGATGAATGACTATTGTTACCTCTATTTTGATGGAGAATTCAGATGAATGTTGCTTTTTTTTTTTGTTTCTTAACAGGTAGCGGATATCAAGAGGGTTAACAATCTCATCAGCGACCAAGACTTTTTTGCCCTTAGGTCTATTAAAATCCCAGTTAAAAAGTTTAGTTCATTGACTGAGACACTTTATCCTCCAAAAGGAAGACAGGCTTTACGTCCTTCGTCTGTTCAGTATGTTCCAGAACAACAGGAAATTTTGCTAGCTAATGATTCTCTTTCTTCCACTGAGTCAGCTGATAACTTTTTAAAAGAAGTAGATCGAGACATAGAACAAATAGTAAAATGTACAGACACCAAAAGAGAGAACCTTAATGAGGTAGTATCTGCTTTAACAGCACAACAAATACGTTTTGAACCTGATAACAAAAACACTCAACATAAGGATCCTTATTACGGAGCGGACTGGGGAATAGGGTGGTGGACAGCTGTAGTGATAATGTTGATAGTAGGTATAATAACGCCAGTATTTTATTTGCTGTATTATGAAATTTTAGCTAAAGTGGATGTTAGTCACCATTCAACAGTGGATTCTTCACATTTGCATTCAGGAGTGACACCCCCATCACAACAGAGAGAAGTAGAAAATGGAATTGGTCCAACTAAAAGAATACCCTTTGGCCAACATGATCATAAACTATATCGTCAAGATTCTCAGTCACCTGCTGCTCAGCACAAAACATAGCAGTTGGCTCATAATTGCAGTGTTAATGATCATGTATATCTGGCATGTGGTGAATCAGTTATATTCAATAACCACTTTAAAGGCAGAAGTTAGGGAGATTGAAGATGCTTTTGTTTTTCACCCTTTTTTTGAAGCCAGTTACAAGTAGATTGAGTATGAATTCCTACACTTGCTAGTTGTTGATATTGAAAGCTGTAAATCTATATCTGTTGTATTAATGCTTAAAGCAAAAATGAATTTAAATATGGGTCTAGAAGTTCTTAACTCGGAAAATGCATCATTTTTCTTATTCAAGCCTGGTTATGTTTAAATTTTATTTTTCAAATTATTTTTTGGTTTAAAGTTATTAATATTAAATATATTAAGCAAAATAAAATTTATAAGCGCCCCAGAATAATGTTTTGCAGTTAGGAAGTTGCCATTTGGTCACTAGAACACTGGATTAGGTCAAGACCTAAAAGTAATCTTTGTCTCTTAAAGCTCTCTGCCTCTGCTTCTGTGATTATAATTGCTTCTGTTATTTGAAAGCACTTTTGTAATTCTTTAATGAAAAGTGTTATATGAGTTAGCATTATTTAGGAAATAAATCCTTACATACTGTGATAAGTTGTTGCTGTGTTATATGCAGTAACATGCCTTAATTACATTTAATGCCTTATAATATTACTTTATGTAAGCTAATACAAGTTTTAGAATTAAAATTAAGGATTATTTCTGATGGTCCAGTGGGATTCATAGGCCGTATAAATTCATCTCCATCTTCACTATCAAGGAAAACTTCATAGGGTTAAAACAGATTTTTACTGGCTGCCTCTGGTCTGTTGGAGAAAGGGTTCATTAAGCAAAAGCAAAGGTGCAAGAGATCTTTTGCATTAACAATAACAGACAAATTATTTATTGATCCATTAACCTACATTTTTCAAAGAGGAAATGTCCAACTTAGACCATTTTTTCCCTCTGAACATAGCATCAGATTGGGGAAACAGAGGCCACAGGTGTGTGGATCAGTTGAAAGGGCTTGATAGTGCTACTTTGTAAGATTTGGTGGGGATCAGACATAGTCTGGCTAAGTAAGGATCATTTGCATACTGATTTCCATCATTTAATTTCTTCAAGTATGTATTTTAAAAATGTAACCAAATGATTCATTAGAAGAAAGTTTGGTGGAGTCTGGATTGCCTGTTTTGTGTATAATAAAGTGTGTACCTTAAATTATATAACACCACCTCATTTTCTGGGCATTATTTCCTAATTTTTAATGTTTCAGGTTTTAACTGGTCATTTTATATTTCCAACTCCAATACTGATTTAAAAAAAAGAGGGGTGAATAAGTACATATGGTAAATGAAGTTTCATTACTTTCAGGAGCAAAGTATCATAAAAAAAAAAAAAAGGACAAAGAAGTCAAGCATTAAAGCCCTTGCATGTATTAGAGGGCCTTAGACAATTATTAGAAAGTGTTAATATGGAAGTTATAGCAAAATCATTTGTTGAATAACTTTTAGTTTGGAATTTTAAAAATTGTTTTAATGTGCCTTGGCATCTTGAAAAAAAAAGTGTATGATCTATGTTCAGTGTTAACTTGGTCAGTTTACATTGTATTTATTACGCTTGCTGAAAAATCAAGTTTTAGGGAAGAAAAATGGATTGGATTATTTTAGGGTAGAATGAAGAACTTTGTTTACATCAAATTGATATAATTACAGAGTCAGTGATTCCTTTTTGCTAGTGCTAGTTTGAAATTGTGATAGATCTGATTTCCAAAATAAGTAACTTTATTAAAGTAGTGAAGTATACTATGTACTTGATTAAAAACCATTTTGTCTTGCAGTGGGTCCTGTTTCACGAAGGAAATCTATCCTTATGACACAATCAGGCAGTTTCCTTTTTCTATATATTTGAATCCTATATAATTCTATATATGTCATATATATATAGGATTTTAGATTCTAATCTTTAATGGTCATTAAAAAATTTTTCCTAAGCATTTAATAGATCTAGAATAATTTTACCTTTTAAAAAGTACTAATATACATCAAAATTTGTAGCAAATAATTACTTTGTAAAACTTAATGAGTTACTTGATATTATGGATTTAAATTGTGTTGAAATCCTTATTTGAATTTACTTGGATGCTTTACATTAGAAGGTACATATGTTATATATATGCTAACAATTGTGAATCATTGCATTTGGTTCACTTAAAAACTTGGGAGTTCTAAGTGAAGAAAAATCTGCTATTTTTAGGGCAGATTTTTTTTTTTTAAGGCTGGCTACAAATGGTTAACTTGTTTTGAACTATTGAATGCCATTTAAATTTCTGCCATTCTACTAGAAAATTATGGGATTCACCTCTTCAAAAGATAGGTTAAAATGGATTATACAAAGTCTGATGACCATATTATAATTAGAAAGAAGACTAATGTTAAATGAACTTTTCCGAAAGACTTTTTGTGTTTTTTAAAGCTTTTCTTTTTCTGGACTCTGCTTGCTTGTTCAGCAAGCATTCCTAAATGAACCACTACTTACTAAATTAGTTCTTCTTAAGGTATCTATTTCTAAAATTACCTACTTGAGAACATGAAGGATGTTTCAGAAGTATCATGAAGCAAAGATCCAGTCAGAGCGTTACAGGGTAAACATGGGGTTTTTAGAAGTCTGTATTTAACAGGTGCATTATGATTGGTGGCATTCTTATTTTGAATTACAACAGCATTGCTCAGGAAATCAGTATTTTTCTTCCACGTATGTGCATATTGCACTGTTAGATCAGAGAACTATCTGAATGCTTTATTTAATTCTTTTTATGTATGCAGATACTATAAATCTTTTGTATAATGTATTTTATACAAAGGCAAAATGGAATTGTAGAACATTGTTAGCATGAACATCTGTAAAACTGGTTTTTAAAACTTTTTGCCCTTATTTTTCATATTTTAAAAGATATGCAAAATGTAATAAAGTTTCTATTTTATTATTCAGTCTAAAATGGAAGCTGGTGAATTTAATTGAATAAAAAACAAATGTTTTCTCCTCTTCTATCAAACTCTTTGATGTAGACATACTGTGTAAGGTAGATAGAATTGCCAAAGGTTTACCAATTCATATTTCCCCCTTGTTATACAGAAATAAAATCCACTGGGTTATTTATAAGACATAAATGAAAACAAATGTCAGATGGGTGTTCTTTGGATGTACTTCGGTAACAGGGAAGAAGACTTTAACAGGCATGGTCCACTGCTGCTTAGCAAGCTGTGGGTCACATGTTTAGCACCATGATCTAAATGTAAATTTTATCACGAAACAACCTTTCCACTTCAATGATATTTTTCAAAATTACCAGTAGCAAAAAGAACTGAAAAAGCTGTTTGAAGTTTTTATTTATTTAATGGAGGAATTTGTGATGTAATTCTTTTTTTCCCCTTAAAATTGTATTTAAGCTCACTTTTTAATAAAAAGTTTTTACTAACTCCAGAGCCTTTAAGTATATTAAGGCAAAGCCATTGACACTTTACATTTGAATGTGGTGGGGGTAGAAAGGTTAACAAAATCTTCCAAATTTCTTAGTATTCTCTTGTATCCATTGTCAGTCCATGATAGCAGTGGTCACACTAATACTACACTATCTGCCAAATCTCTTCATTTGTTAACATGATTTTAATCACCTAGAGTTTTCTTTTGTGGGTTTATGTCATACTTGCTCAATAAATAGTTATTTCACTACATAAAATCTGTATTAACAAATCTGTTTTCTCATATATTTAAGTAGGTTCAAAATAAACCATGTTTATATAAAACAAAAGGACACAAAATTGTTTTGTAAGAATTTAATATGTAAACAGGAAAATAAGCATTATAGCAACAAAACCATTTGGCCTATTAATACAGCAATTTTTTTTTTTTAAGATTTTATTTATTTGACAGAGATCACAAGTAGGCAGAGAGGCAGGCAGAGAGAGAGGAGGAAGCAGGCTCCCCGCCGAGCAGAGACCCCAATGCGGGGCTCGATCCCAGGACCCTGGGATCATGACCTGAGCCGAAGGCAGAGGCTTTAACCCACTGAGCCACCCAGGCGCCCCTAATACAGCAATTTTAAAGACACTTCACCAACAAGTACTTTTTTATATACAGGAGGCTACCTCTGCATTGAAGTTTATCTTCTTACGGAATAACTAACTTCACAGTCTCAGATTTTAAGCCAGAAGGACAAGATCCATGCTGGTAAAGCAACCTGCAAATACTCCCTGTCCTCATAGTTAGTCTACTTTCAACTTATAAAAAGAGGAAGACAGTGCACTTAAGGCAGATGGCTGGGGGCTCCTGAAGCAAATCCCTGCCCAAAGGGGCTGTCTTACCATCTGTGGACTAAAACTGGAGGCAAAACTGAAAGCTAGGAAAATAAATACCTGTATCTTAAGTGCATCTGACTGATTCACAGGGTCATCTGCAGAGTTACACTGAAGCAGGTAAACAGAACCGTTGAGATCATATTTCTATAAATTAAATGGTATTTGGCTAAAGTACTAAGGAGGTGAGAGAATAAAACATCAATGTTTTATTTAACAATCCTAAGTGACTATTTGCCCATTACAACTAGAAACTTTAAGTCTAGTAGGTTGCTGTTTTAACATGGACTTTCTTTTGTTTTCCATTTAGAATGTTTAAAATTTCCTAGAAGCTTATTTCAACAAATAATTCACATGTGATGGGCACACTGAACTAACAATGGTCCTCACCCACCTTGAATAATCTGAGGAAGTATTAAAATTGAAAGTGATGTTTTTCCTGAGAAAGTCATGTTTCAAAATGGCACAAGACATAAATTTTCTCCAGTCCTTCCCTCCAGAACATAAGATGGGAAAATCAGTATAGAATAGTTTGTGAGGACAACATGCTTGTTTTTCAAAACTGCTTGTTTTCAGTCACTTAACGAAGCTACCAGTTTTCAGAGGGTGAGAACTAAGTTTAAGAAGTGATCATTTCTATAAGGTATGAATGAACACATATGGCAAATTTCAGTTAGTGTGTAAGCAATTTTTATAGGAAGTAGTGTACAGGTGGAGAAACTAAGGCACAGAAAATTTAACCAAGCTCATTTTCAAGGTTGAGTCTATAGTAAAGGTAGAAACAGAATCTAGGGCTTTGATTCTCAAGGTTAGAAGGTAATGGGACTATCTTCCCAAAAGGGAAAAATAATCTTCTTTGTTCTTTTTGGTAGAGAATATTAAGAAATCATTTAAAAATATATAATATTAATTCCCTTGGAAATCTTTGGCATTTGTGTGTCTTTGGATGCTGGGGGGTCTAGGTATTTTACTCTGCCAAGATATTAAAAGTCAGGGGAGCCAGTTTTTAATCAAAACAAAAAAGATTAATCTTAACTTTAAAATGACCTGAGTTTTATTCTGCACTGTTCTATAAATCAATTGGATAACTGAGTCCTGTGAAATTTAACAATGGCCATGACAACTCACAGATTTTGTACACATGCATTCTGCAGTGAGATTTATACGACTAGAACTTTCTCTATACTTTTGTAAAGTACAAAATTAGGTATCTAATTTTTCATAAGCCCAGCTATTCAAAGATCAAACTTAATGACAGTGAGATGATTATATGTTAAATGGCATTGAGTTGGCTCCAAATTCGAGTACTTTTTTAGTATTCATTCCAGGTTTTTGTACGGACTAAGATGTGACCTGGGAAATTCATGAAGTTCAGAGTGGCATTTTTCCCTGTATGTTTTTGATCACAAAACTCCTAATCTCATAAAATATGCAATTGTAAGAGCTCCAGTAGGGTTTTGTAGTCATAATGCAGCACAGAACAGACCATGCAAAAGTAAAAGATAAAACTATTTTCAAGTTTCTTTGTTTTTAAAGTGCTCTTTGTGCAGTATCATTACATCAACTTCCAGACTACAGAAATTCACTATAATGACTAGTAATAGTTTTACAACAGATCGAGTTCCATAAGAGTAATTTGTTCAAGTATGAATACATAGATTAAAAAATGCAAAAACTCTGGGCACACTGAAATCCCAGTGATAGAAGAGAAATCCACTTGAATACATAAGACGGATGACGGGGTGTTGAGAAGGAAATGTCAGAGTATCAGAGACTGATTGGTAAGGTAAGTAGTATGTAAACTCAAAGTGGTTCTGAGTATTTTGACAGCAAGTATCTGCCCAGCAAAAGAGGAACAAAAATATAATATTCCTTATCAGAAATAGAAAACAAGTCTGTCCAAATGTTCAGAAGTGGTATCATCAAGATATTCTTGGAGAAATTTCAAAGCTAATAGGTTGCTTCATCCATGTTGTCGTCACTGTCTGCACCAAAATCATCTCCATCTTCAAAGTATGAATTAATGTAGTCATTTTCCTAAGTGAAA